TCACCAATACAATGGGAATAGAACCTCCATGCAAAGGTACTCTTTCCGAAATTGTGCAAGTCGCAAACCTTTCATTACGACGTCTCCACACTCAATCTCGACCATCAGGTGACCGGAGACAAAATCGGGACTCGTCAGTGAAGAGTACCTTACCCCATTGTTCCAGGAGCAGCCGAGGTCTTTTGGCAGGTCTTCTAGCAGTCAGATCACTTTTATCAAGTCTTCGATGAATAGTTCTTTCACTTACGTCAACCCCACGCACTATCTGAAGATGATGCCGAGTTTCTACAGCTGTTCTAAAATTCCTCAGAGTGTTTAGAACAATAAATCAGTCATCAACTGCTGTTGTCACCCGTCTTCTACCGAAACCTTGCCGCCTAGTGAAATTTCCTGTTTCCACATATTGGTTCCAGGCGTATTGCTGACTTTTGCCATCCTCAATTAAAGTAACAATACGCGCAACATCAGTTACTGACGACGGGATTGCTATTATGTTAAAAGACTGCAAAAATCTTTAACAACTGTCAATTTACTATTCGAAACAAATGACATACACTACCTAGCGCGCCACCTTAGATTTTTTATGCTTGTGTATCTTGTTTTTACAGGCGTTCGCTTTAAAACACTGCATCTTCGTTAGTAATAGAGATAATAGAGTGAATAAAAAAACGAGATGTTCAGAAAAGTTTGTTCTACCGTTTGATTCCAGTTAACACCATCTGCTGTAGCAGTTGCACCCCACAGGGTATTACAAAGTTTTTCTCATTCTTGCAACCCGTATATGCTCAAATTAAAATCTAAATGAAAATTTCTATCGCAGGATTATTACCGAAGAATTAACCTTTCGATCAAAAAAACAATCATCAAAATCGAATGCGCGGTTCGCGAGAAAGCCAGCTTTGAAGTTTTGGCTATTATAGTGGCCGGTTTTTTTTGCCGGTCAGTTTATTTGGACATCGTAATTTCTTCTCTTTGCTTATCTGCTTTATGCCTGTCTTTAAGACTTCTCCTAATTACCACTAATTATCAATTCTCTGAATTTCACCACAAAATCTTACCTAAATCAAAACTTTCTACTTAAAAACAACTGTTTTTGCGATACAAATCAATCCAGTACAAATAATAATTGCATCGAAATAGCAATAAAATCTCTATAATAGTTCACATTTGTCCAGGATTTAAGACTTATTTAACATTTTATTTAACTTGTTATACGGTACAATTGCGATTATCAATTTTCAACGTTATCTTTTTGGTTGTATGTTTGGAGTGGTGGATATTATAGTATAAGCTCGTATGGTATTATGTGTTTCTAGTATATTATTACAACATTTTATTACTTCTCTGTTTACCTTTAAAAGCTTACACTGTTTGTTTTTACTGCTTTAGCATATTATTATAAAACTATGTTACAACTTTATTTACCCTTAAAAGCGTAACTATTTTACTTCCTTTATTTACGGTAACTTTCTAAAAGTTGAGAAATGTTACGTTACAACAATAAATAGACACTAGAAATACAAACTTAATTTTTCTTTTATTTTTGTTATGCTGTACAGGTGTCCAAATTTCGATGGGTTTGCAGGGTATCTCAGTTATTATGAAAGATAGAAATTTATTAGAACCTGAGTTACTTTTTTGTGAAACTTACAATGGCGCAAACCAAATTTTCATAGTCCTCTTCGTTTTTGATATACAGGGAGTGTTTGAAATTTACCATTTTCAGGCACCTCCTGTATCTCGGCTATCCGGAAACTTAATAAAAAAGTAAAAACGGGTTCTAATAGATTTTTTCACGTGGAATCCAATGGTGCACGTAGAATTTTTCTAGTCATCACGGTTTTTGAGTTATAAACACAACTCAAATACTGAATACTCAACTTCTAAGATACTTAACTCTTTATAACTCAAAAACCTTGATGACTAGAAAAATTCTACGTGCACCATTGGATTCTACGTGAAAAAATCTATTAGAACACATTTTTACGTTTCCGGATAGCCGACATACAGGGGTGTCTGAAAATCGTAAATTTTGAAACACTCCCTGTATATCAAAACCGAAAAGGGCTATGAAAATTTGGTTTGCGCCATTGTAAGTTTCACAAAAAAGTAGCTCAGGTTCGCGAAAGCCGCAACTTTCTACCTCTCATAATAACTGAGATACCCTGCAAACCCATCGAAATTTGGACACCCTGTACAATTGCGATTACTATTTTCAACATTATCTTTTCGGTTGTATGTTTGGAGTAGTGGATATTATAGTATGAGCTCGTATGGTGTTATGTGTTTCTAGTATACTATTACAAAATTTTATTCCATCTCTGTTTATCTTTAAAAGCTTACACTGTTTGTTTTTACTGCTTTAGCATATTATTATAAAACTATACCGCAACTTTAAAAGCGTAACTATTTTACTTCCTTTATTTACGGTAACTTTCTAAAAGTTGAGAAGTGTTACGTTACAACAATAAATAGGCACTAGAAATACAAATTTAATTTTTCGTTGCCGTCTTGGGAGAAACAACTTGTTTTCTCGTTGGAAATAGATGAATATTTCATTCTGTTGCCGCAAGATGCTACGGTTTCCATGGTTGAATTGTGTTTGCGGAAAATTCAAACATCAATTATTCTTTCAACGCTTTACATACTCACCTATACAACGGTCACAATAAATTTAACATAATAATAACGATGGTGGTTATCATGTTTTGTTAAAGGAATTTATTGTTATGTATATTTAAACCTGAAAGTGTAGTAGAAAAAGAAAATTCATGTTCAACTTCACAATAAACGGAATTGATACTGCACTGCGGCTGTGTACCCGTTAACCACAACCACGTGGGAGGGGATTATCCCTCGGCACATACGAAAATCCTACACGTGTCTACACTGTATTTACTGCACTAAGGCAGTCTGTTCCCTTGCTCATTTCCTTTTGTTGCAACCGTCCTTTGTAAAGTAGGATTATAACGATTACAACGGTCGAAAGATACGATTTTCGTCGTAAAACTTACAGGAATTCGAATCGTATAAATCGGAACGGATCGTTCGTTTTAAACCCCAGTTTTGAAAGGTAGTAAAGATCGGGGGAAGCTCGTTCGAAAAGGGGCTCTCCACGACTCCCATTATTGATTGCCTCCCCGAAACCGGTTTGAGCTTGACTTTCGGGTATCGAAAAGTATTTTTTTAAAGCAATTAAAAAAAAATCATGTCTAAACGAGACATCATGATTTCAAATTGTTGTTTTGTATGGTTTTTACTAAGACGATACAAGAGATACACAATGAGCGCAGTTAATTCGTTTGGTAATCTAAACTTTTAGTTAAAAAATTTCAGTTAAAACGAATAGTAGAAATCCGAGTCGAATACAACCTCGAAATCCACTTAACGTCGAGTTCTCCGAGCAAACAACACGGCAATTAGGGCGGGAGAGAAAAATTAAACGCCATCTGGCGGTTGTAGAGGCCCGAGGACTAAAATGGGGTGGGTTTTGTGGGCAAAAACCAGTGTTAGCACAAAGATTAAAAGTAATTAAGGGAGCAAACAATACGGTCGCGATGAGGAAAGGGCTCTCTAAACCCAACGGCGGGCGGGAGGCGTTCTTGGATGGTAGATGTGCAGGTAAGAGGTAATTTTGTCTAGGACCATTAATCCACCCTTTTTCATTCCTTGTTTGTTTTGAATTATTCAAGACGGATGCAATTAATTCCTTCCTACTTCTCAGTTTGTTTTTCAACCTACAATTTTAATGAATTCTATACTCTGTTTTTAAACCAGGAGGAGTAAACGCGANTCGTTTAAGATCTTATTATTCTTCTTCTTTTATTCAGGTTGTAACCTGTTTTTTACGCATCATTCATGGTGTTTCATTAGAGCTGGAAATCCAACTTCCTGGTCTCCCGGGATCTCTTAGCTAATCTTTGGTCTCTTGCTGTCTTAATCAGCCAGGTTTCTTCCATTCTTTGGAAGTATTCATTAAATTTTTTTGTTTTTCCCCTAGCAAATCTCATGAGATCTCCGAGTCCACAAAATTCTTTTACAATTTTGTTCCTTACTCTATCTCTTCTTGTCTTTTCCACTATTGTTCTTAAAGTACTCATCTCTGTTGGTTCGCATCGCAGCCATATATCTTGGCCATGAGGTTCGTGTATCGAGAGATAATAATCAAACAAGCGAACTAAACAGAAGGATGATACTCGCATGGGCTGCCTACAGGAAACTTAGAGACATCTTCATGAGCGATATTCCTGTATATTTGAAAAGAAAGGTTTTCAATCAATGCGTGCTTCCTTTGGTTATGACATACGGTTCCGCAACTTTAACATTAACGGTGGCCATTACCAGGAGGCTCAAAGTAACGCAAAGAAAGATGGAGAGGTCGATGCTGGGTGTAACCCTAAGGGACCACATACGAAATGAAGACCTACGAAGAACTGGCGTAAATGATGCGGTCAACATTGTGGCAAAGCTCAAGTGGAACTGGGCGGATCATCGTCGCAAGAATGTAGAATGAGCAGTGGTTACCTGATAATAATACGTCTTCGATCGTTGACAATTCCTCGTCTTCAACGCTCATTTCATCATGTTCCTCTACATTTTTGTCCGAATCTGATATATTTTTACTTGTATGACTTTTATATGTACTGTTTGGGTATTTACCCTGAGCCGGGGTAAGTACCTAGATAAATACCCATTTTATAAATACCTACCCGCCGGGTATTTACCCAGCGCCCATCACTGATTAAAACTAGAACTAACACTAGACCTAGAACTAGAAAGTTTCTGGTTTAGCCGTGCGTCTGAAGACTGAAGACGCACGGCTAAACCCGAAATTTTCTAGTTCTAGGTCTGGTGTTAGTTCTAGTTTTACACTAGCACTGTTACTATGTAGAACTAGCACTATACCTAGAACTAGAATCATTTGGGTTTAGCCACACGTCTCTAAAGACGGCTAAATCCGAATAATTCTAGTTCTAGGTATAGTGTTAGTTCTAGTTTTACTCTTGCATTGTCACTAGAACTAACATTAGACCTAGAAACATTTGGGTTTAGCCTCTTAAAACGGCTAAAACTGAATAATTCTAGTAGTGCTGTATAACAATTAAAACTAGAACTGACACTAGAGTCTTCAGCCGCACGGCTAAACCCGACTGTTTCTAGTTCTAGGTCTAACAATGATATTTTATGCTAATTAGCACCAAGAACATATTAATTAAGTATGCTGCGTAGGCATTGCGTACAATGGATGGGTGTTATAGAAGTGACGAGAGGATGAGGAAGTTTTCAGCGTCATGAACATAGACGTACCAGAAAATTAATATACACTCAGTATAATTCTCAAAACTAACAAAGAGAAGAAGAATGAAGAATATGTAGAAATAAATTGTCTAATTTGTATGGATATTTGCTTACAATGTAATATTGTTCCACTATTCTTCTATTGATTGTGTATCTACAATTCTACTTGTCAGTTTTCTAGTAATGTTCTTCTGAAAATTCTCCTGTAATTCTGAAAGGTGGTAGCAGTATATTGGAGAAAAGATAGGAAGAGAAGCATTCTGTGACTCAAATCATTTATTAGTGCAGACGATCTTACTTGTCTAAAAGTAGCAAAAGAAGTTCCTCAGGAATTTATATTGGAGTCACCTTCATGGAATCTTTTATGATGACGATCTAAGAATAGAAATGTTAGCAGGTGTTAATTTGACTTGAATACAATGGGAGTTAAAGTGGATTCTCATAAACTTAAGTAAAGATTGGACCCAACCCAACACCAAGTAGTCAGGAAATATTCAGAAAATTATTAAATGTGTAGTTCCTATCAAGAATGATAACCAAAGTATTGTTAATGTTTGGAGCAACAAGTTTCAATCACCCTCATTATGAAGCTTCAATCAATTTTCAACGATAGTTAACTCACTAAGGGCCGGTTGTACAATATACCGATAAATCTACCTGATATCTATCCGCCCGATAAACTTATCAGGAGGATAAAGATATTTGCTGTTGTATAAACTGTTTTTGTCGGTAGGATTGTTATCGGCGAAATAAGAGTCGGTTGGTAGTAGTTTTTCCCCATATCTAGTGATTTATGCCGTAGAATGGTAACGCCAACGTCTTTCTTTGAAGTTTGAATTACGATTTTGACAATATAAATTGTTTAAAAACATTTTCACTGACACATCGTACATATAAGGTTAACGTTTAATGTTAGAGGTTAACCTATGCAGTAAATCATACAAAGTTTTTATATAAAAACCTTGGTAACCATAAATATCTGCCGGATAAGTGTCTTATCAGCACCGTTGAGTTCCCGATAAGTTATCCTGCCGATAATCTCACTAACAAAAACATCCGTACATTGTAATACAGTATAAACTAACTTATCTGCCAGATAACGCTGTCGGGAAGTTTATCGCTATATTGTACAACCGGCCCTAAATCTATTTATTTTTGTACTACAGAACCAAGGGCTAATAATAATACGTTTTCATAATGATTTTGTACGAAGATTTACTATAATATTTTTAATTTAAAGTGATTTATATTTATTTATCAACGTTTTTAGTTTTGATTGACTTGCTAGTACTCCTTTTGATATCGATTTAGTGAAGTTTAAAAATTATTACTTATATTTTTGAATTGATGAATTAAAGTAATAATTTGGTCGGTTAAAAATTAAAATTATTCCTTTATTTCATCAATAAATTGCTTTATTTATGTAATTCGGAAGACCTACATTAAAATTAAAAATTATTTAATCCCGTATAAAAAATTAAATACTGTCCATATGAATAAGTATGGGGTCCATGGTAGATAAAATGGCCGTTCTAGTATCGGATCTTCTCGTACGAGAAGTGTGCGGATATCAAGGAATCATTATCCTGGATAGCGCCGGACAAACTTCGGCTTGAATCGGCCCGTATTCAACATGTTCCCCATCAACCGTCATATAACCTCTTTCGTTCATATCAGGTTCTATTCTAAATGCTTTAACGGGAATAAAATCTATTCCTTCTATGCTAGTTTGAGCGTGCGCTCCCGTACTTAAACCTAATAAAAATTGTAACATTTGCGTCCGAGTTACGTTTCCTCGAATAATTAATAACCAAATCACCCCATCGTTTAATTTTGATTCGGGGGCGAATAAACAGTCTTCGCCTAAATGACTCTGATAGGAAGCGTGGACCATCACAAATTTACCTTCGAGACAAACCCAACTGCTTGTCGGTAACGGTGAAGTTAAACATGGTAACTGAGACGGTGGGCCATACATTTGAAATTTCGTTTGTACCGAGCTATCACCTCCGCTATCATTCGCCGATTGATAACTACTTGCTGTTGCCGAAAAATAAGCACTTCGTTTTGACGCCGCGCTATACCAAGAATCTATGCGGGGCCTAGGTCCAGATTCGCTTAAATCCGTTACGCTTCCCGTTCCACTCCCAACGGGATTCCCATTCGTATCATTCTGCCCTAGTTGAACATTTCCCGGGAGATAATAAACTTTTCCAGTGTAACATCTTAATCCAATTAGACGTGCAACGCTCCAAACTGTAAATCGATGACCGCCGAGTATACGAAGGCGTTCGCTTTCGATATCCACGTCGGATAAAAGACCCCATCCCACCGATAGGAAAGAAAAATAAATTTGGGATGAGTTTTCAACACGGACTAAATCCATGGGTACACAACGATGACGCACTATTGAGAGAGCCGATGGTAACGTTGGAGCGTTTACGTATGGTTCACCGGTGTAATAAGCAACGCTTCTTGCTAAACCATTTCCTGATCCTCCAGGAACTACTGCTATGGGAAGACTTTCGGCTATTGTCGCCCAATCGGGACGTTCGAACATTCCATTTATTACTTCGTAAACTATTCCATCACCACCAACCTGTAACAAAAATAATTATTTTAATTATAGAGTGTAATATACAGTGAATTACTGAAATAAAAATAGAAGCAATACTAGAGTTAGAATTAGAAACATTTAAAGTACGTTTCTAAAGACTACACGTTTTTAAAGACGGACTTTAAGTCTAGTGTTAGCTCTACATAGTAACAATGCTAGTGTAAAACTAGAACTAACACTAGAACTAGAAAGTTTCGGGTTTAGCCTTACGTCTATTAAGACGGCTAAATCCAAATGATTCCATTTTTACTGTACAGGGTGTCCCGCAACGATTGTACAATACTGCATCAGCGTATTCTCTGATCGAAAACAGACAAGAAAAGTCTAATAATAAACATAGGTCCGAAAATGGACCAATTTCGAGATATCAAGACTAGGTTTCATACAAGTTGCATCGCAATCTGGTAACATCAACGGTGCGGGCTGAAAAGAAGGCATACTATGATTACGCCTTACGTAGTAAAGATCCAAAGGCTCTTTGGAGAAAGATTAAACTTCTAAATATAAATAAAAAAAATCGATAACAAAGTGCCTAACATTTTTCTTCCAAACGATTTAAATAATTATTTTGTTCACGGTGATTCTTCACTTTATATCCAGACTGATCCCGAATTACCCATATTTTATCAAAATAATGTAAACCCTAGAGTGCAGATAATGCAAGCTTTTATGCCTGTTGATGAACATGAAGTACCTATAATAATTAATAACATTAAAACTGCAGCGGTGGGTTCTGATGGTATCTCAATCTGGATGATTGACTTGTGTACCCCTTTTCTCATTCCTTATATTACTCACGTAATAAACGCTGCTGTTCATCAATCAGTTTTTCCGGATGCCTGGAAAATGGCTGAAGTAATTGCATTACCTAAAGTATCTTCCCCTTCTGCCCTAAGGGATTTTAGACCGATCAGTATCCTCCCAGTAATGTCAAAAATTTTAGAGAGAGTCTTGGAAAAGCAACCTAGAGCACACTGCGAAAGGTATAGTATACTGCCAGATCAACAATCTGGGTTTCGTTCGGGTTTCAGCTGCGCAATAGCTTTATTGAACCTTACTGATGATGTATTTGCTTCTAGAGAGGCCGGGCAAGCCGCACTTTTGTTATCGTTGGACTTCACCAAAGCATTTGATACAATAAATCATAATATACTTGCATCTAAACTTAATTATTTTGGTCTTGGAAATCAAGCTGCAATTTTGATAAAGTCATTTTTGTCGGACAGGTCTCAGGTTGTGAAGATTAATAGTCAAGTGTCGAGCGCTCTGTCTGTTACTCGTGGAGTCCCTCAGGGGTCCATTTTGGGGCCACTATTGTTCTCTATTTATACATCTGATTTTGACCAGGTTCTTGGTTATATGCAGATGATACACAGCTTCTGCTGAATTTTAATCCAAATAATTGGGTTGATGCCTGCATAAAACTTAACTCAGATATAGCATTATTTTCTGATGTTGCGAAACGCCATGAACTTGTGCTAAATCCATTTAAGTCTTCTGTTCTGCTGTTTTGCGGTAGTGTCACAAGGAGAGCGATTAAGCCCTTGATATCCGGTCAATTGGTGGTGGATGGCGAACCTCTTACTGTTTCTGATGATATAAAAATTTTAGGAGTCACATTGGATCATCAGTTGAGGTTTGAGGAGCATGTGGCCAGGTGCTTGAGGGGTGGGTATGGCGCCCTGCGTCTCTTGTATGCCCATAGGGATGTCTTAAGTAAAAAATTAAAAATTATGCTGTGTGATAGCTTGGTTCTAAGCAAATTAAATCACTGCGACGTTGTTTATGGTCCAAATTTAACGGAGGCGAGTGGGCGTCGTATCCAGAACCTTCAGAACGGTTGTCTGAGGTTTATTTACGGAATTCGTAAATATGACCATATTAGTCATAAGTTGGCAGAGACTGGGTGGTTGAACATGAAAAACAGACGTAAACTGCATGCAACTTGCGTTTATTATAAAATTATTAAAAGTCAGCGGCCTCCTTACTTGCTGCAACGCCTATCTTTCAGAAGCGATGTCCATAACATTAATATAAGGAGGAAAGATGTATTGACGGTACCACGCCGCGCCTCGCACCGATCCTTTTCCTACCAGATAGCTAAAACGTACAATGATCTACCTATGAACCTTATAGGATTGAACTGTATTTCGTTCAAGAGTAAATTAAAATCCTCCCTCCTGCTTGAGTCATCATGTTTTTTTTTTTATTATATTCTGAGTTACTAATGTATCGCTTTATACTGGCATGTCGTCGTATTTTGTTTTTTTTTTTTTTTTTTTTCATTTTGTTTATTAGTATTGTTAAAAACATTCTCATTTTTGCTTTATATATATATTTTCTATATATTCTGGATTAAGTGGAAGAGCAGTTGGTTAATAACCAAACTGAACTTCGTCTAGAAAATAAGTCTATTTTCTAAGAGTGTATTATTGTTTTCTTTCCTTTTTTTGCGACTTATTAATAAAGGCATTATTATTATTATTATTATAATCGTTCCGGATTTTGATCGAGATTCAGAAATAGATCTCAGCCATTGCTAATTTTCTGCTTAATAATTATCGTCTCATCCAAAAGACTATTTCTTGTAGGTCGCCATTTATTGTACTCTTTATAATTTTGGTTTTAATTTTCAAATTGAAAATAATTATTTCTTGCACACCTTGGTATATTACTTTAAAAAGTTGCTTTTATCGAAAATTGTTTCAAACAAAAGTTGTTAGAACTTTGATTCGAAGTGGATTCATTTAATAAACATTTTTTTATATCTTCGTTAGGTGACGCTGTACACTACTATACAATTTTTCGTTATACAGGGTGTACAAAAAGTATGGAATAATGATTCTACAGCCTAAACTTCAACTTATATTAAAAAAAGTTTTAAATAAAAGTTACTTGAAACTATTTTCCGCTTATCTTGGCGTAGAAATGAAATAAAAATCTTGACGGCAGTCTGAGTTACGACATGGTGAGTGTGTTTTTTAAATGAAACACCCTGTATATTTTTTTGTATATTTTGTGTTGCAAAATGCTATAAGGTTTTAATGCTTTAAACTGCATAGTTTTCGAGATATTGAAACTTTTATTTAAAAAGATTTGACGTAGCCACAACCTAAGCCTTGACGTCACAGAGGTGAGCGGAGCTTATACCACAGTTGCTAAGATAAAACGCCATAAAAATGTTATCTAAAATGTCACTTAGTTTATTTTATTTTAACACTAATAGACAACCTAAGTCTTGACGTCATAGAGATGGGCGGAGCTTATACCGACTCCAAACATTTTCGTTGCTAATAGACAACCTAAGTCTTGACGTCACAGAGATGGGCGGAGCTTATACTGACTCCAAACATTTTTGTTGCTAACGGTAAATCACCATATGCAATTTTCAATTAGTGTTAAAATAAAATAAATTAAGTGATGAAATTTTGGGCGATTTATCGTTAGCAATACAGTTAGCAACGAAGATGTTTGGAGTCAGTATAGGCTTCGCCCATCTCTGTGACGTCAAGGCTTAGGTTGTCTATTCCATAATCACGCCATAACTTGGTTGTCGCTACATCAAATCTTTTTAAATAAAAGTTACAATATCTCGAAAACTATGCAGTTTAAAGCATTAAAACCTTATGGCACCTTGCAACACCTTGTCAAAAGGAATCCCAAAACCTTAAAATATACAGGCTGTTCTATTTAAAACACACACATTTTTATTTTATTTCTACGCCAAGATTCCGAAGTAACTTTTATTTAAAACTTTTTTAATATAAGTTGAAGTTTAGGCTGTTGAACCATTATTCTATACTTTTTGTACACCCTGTATGTTTAGGGTACCCCATGTAAGCGGCATAGTATATAAATGGAACTAAGGTGCCGAGATACACAGTTCTTCCTTAGACAATAAAATACATATTTAACAATTTTACACATCATACAAATATTTTTATACATACAGTTGTTCCATAACGACGTACCGAAATAAATATATGTTATTTTAAATGGAATGATATAGTTTTTATTTCGTGTGCTGATTCTACACACAAAAATATGTTGATTTTGATAAGATATGTTGATACCTAGTGCTTTTAGTTTTGGAGTTATTTTAATTAGAAACTTTTTTTAGCAATTAACACTGTGCCCTTTAAATCTGAATTTCTTAGCGACTGATCGAGCTAGAAAGTTAAATTTTGTAACAGTTGCTACTTGGATATCTTTAAATAGAGCGCCATTAGGCTGGGTTGTGTTGGGTTGGGTTCTACTAACGAAAAAATGAACAAGATCTGCCATTCTTTGCATGATTTTGATTAATTCCACAATATCTCAAAAACTCCAACTGATAGGTATAGTGACATGTAGTGAAGATTTATACAGAATTAAATTCTTTATCTCATAAGCTAGACAAATATGGGGTGTTCCATTAAAAGTTTCGCCTTTAACGCATGTACATACAGGGTGTCTCAGCGAGACCGGTCATTAGACGTTTCTGGGGTTCTGGCAAAAATAAAATTCAGACATAAGTATTATTAATTACGATCTCTTCTACTAAAATATTTTCAGATTTCTTACACTTCCGGTTATACCGGAAGTCGCCACCTACTTTATTTTTTTAAATGGAACACCCTGTATATTTTTATATATTTGGATTTGTCTGTTTTCAAGGTTTATAAATTATTTTACTTTTTACAATTTGATTCGGCCGTTCTCGAGTTATTCGAATTTTTCTAGAAAAATCTGCCCCAGCAGACATTTGATCAAAAAATCAGAGAACACTCGATTTTTGGGATATCACTTTAGGATTCAGAACATGCTTAAGCAACATGATGGAGTATGTATTGGTGCCGAGAACGGCTGTCTAGAACGTTTGGTCACGTTACTATGGCACGTTAACTTTTCGAAATTTGGAAGTACAGGGAAACGTCGTTTTACGCCGGGGTTCTGTTCCTAGAGACACCGGCGTAAAATGAACACAAATATAATGGACAGTATAAGGTTAGGTTCCTGTTATGTTTATTTAATACATATCCTATATATATTCAAAATAAATAATAATCTCTTGATATAAATAATAAATTTTTTGAAATAAATCCAAAAATCCAGTTTCATTTGCTTTGATTGTTGCTTCCTTTCTTGCAGAATCATAACATAAGGTCGAAGGGCAGCTATGACACTTCTTTTAACATTTACGCTTCGATTGTAATCCCCATCTATGTCACAGAGCTCACCTGTTAACCTTTCTATAGAGGAAAGGATACAAGTTAGATAGTCGGTTTTTAGGATTTTCTTTCTCATCCTCTTCTTCTTCTTCGGGATTTTCTGATTGAGGGCGATCATATGCCTCCATCAACTCTTCTAATTCTTGATTTGAGATTGGTTATTCATGCACGTCTAACAGTCCGGTCACATCTTCAGTTGTTACGTCTTCGAATCCACATTCGCGTGTAAACTTGATAATGTCTTCGTTTATGTTAATGTTATTTACCACTTCTACACTTGCACCTTGTATAAATCCAGGAAGAAGTTTACACCAAACGCCGTTTAAACAATTGTTTGTCACTTCGTCCCTCTTAGCTTTTGTCAAGACCTCTAAAAGCCCGTGGATTCTGGGAATGGTACACTACCATTGGCTTAAATTTTAAAGAACCAGAAATATTTGATTCCAAGGGAACAGTCAGTCTATCCTTGGCGGCTTTAAATCCACGAGCACTACGTTCTTCTCGCGAAATAAATGTTCTCGATGGCAACTTCTTCCAATAGAGGCCTGTTTCATCAAAATTGAAGATGAGATCTGCAAGGTAATTCCTTTGTTCCAC